GCCCTTTTTTTTTCTGAGAAGCTCTTTATTTCACTTTCTATTTTGAGTGATAGTCTTGCTGGTTAGAGTAGTCTTGGATTCAAGTCCTTATTTTTCATTACATTGAATACTTCATGGCATTCCTTTCTGGTCTGTAGTGTTTCTGTTGAGAAATCAGCCAAAAGCCTTATGGGGGCTCCTTTGTAGGTAATCTGTTGCTTTTCTCTTGCTGCCATTAAGATTCTCTCTTTGTCTTTAATTTTTGGCATTTTAATTATGATGTGTCTTGGTGTGGGCCTCTTTGGGATCTTCTTACTTGGGGCTCTTTGTGCTTCCTGAACTTGTATGCCTTTTTCCTTCACCAAGTTAGGGCAAGTTTTCTGCCACCATTTCTTCAAATATGTTCTATAACCCTTGCTCACTTTCTTCTTCTGGCACTCCTATGATGTGAATGTTGTTACATTTCACATTGTCCCACAACTATCTTAAACTATCCTCCTGTTTTTCCATTGTTTCTTTCTTTTAGGTTCTCTGATTGAGTGATTTTTTTTTTTCTACCCTGTCTTCTAATTCGCTGATCCAATCCTCATCTTCCTCTAATTGGCTGGTTAGTCCTTCCAATGTGTTCTTTATTTCTGTCACTCTTCATTTCCACTTGGTTGTTTCTGATTTCCAGTTGATTTATTTTTATTGTTTCTTTATCTTTACTCATGCTGTTGAGCTTCTTCATTGTTATTACTCTGAATTCTACATATGATAACCTGCTTCACTTCGTTTTATTTAGCTCTTCTGTAGAATTTTCTTGTTCTTTTATTTGGGATCTGTTTCTTTGTTTCACCATTTTAGGTGTCTCAGCAGGGTTTGGAGTCTGCCAAAATTTCCCTGTGTGTATTGATGTACCGCTTATTGTGGCTCCCTCTGCTGGGTTTGGATGAGTATGGAAGGGACCATGCTGCACACTAATGTCTAGTCTTACTTACTTTCACAGGCCAGGCAAAGATTCACTTATCCTGGAACTTTTGCCTGCAGGCTGACTATTAATTTCAGTTACTTAATGAGCCTCAGGTTGTAGCCCTCAGCTGAATAAAAAATCCCACAGGTGGGCAGGGTAAGAGGATTTTCGGCAGTTGGATCAATTGCTTTCTCTTGAGTTAAAGCTGCTTTGTGGAGAAAATGGTGGGTTAATGACTCAGCACTGGGGCTCAGGCATCACCTTCTCAGCTCTGACTCTAGAGCCTTGAAACCCAATGACCAGTGACCAGTAACCCCGAGCAGGGCCTAAGGGTCAGTGCTCCCAGACACTCGTCTTCGCCTGCAGGCTGTCTGATAGTCTGTCTGTTAATGAGCCTCAGGTTGCCCTTCTCTTGACCAGGTGGGATTAAATTCCCAGGAGAGGGTTGTTCCTTCTCCCCTTGGGTTAAAGCCCCTCTGATGGGATGGGGCTGCTTGACAGAAATCACTACTGAAGCATGGGGGAGTTACTCAGCCTAGGAACCCAGGCCTCAACCTTCATAGCTCAGTCCCCAGAACCACAAAACTCAATACTGAGAGCCAGGTCCAAGGCTCAAAGCCTTCAGTTTCTTTTCTGCCTACTGGCTGGGGGTAGTCTCTGGCTGTTAATGAACCTCAGGTTGTGCTTTTCCCGGCTAGGTGGGGTTGAATTCCCAAGGGAGGGGCAGTTGCTTCCCCCTCTGGCTAAAGCAGCTTTGATGAGAAAGGGCTTCTTGAGGAAGATGGCTACTGCAACATGGGGGAATAACTCAGCATGGGACTCTTGATGACCTCCTTCCCAGCTCTCTCCCCAGTGCCACAAATCCCCAACTCCTCACGTAGCTCCAGTCCAGTCCACCCTCCCTTTGCTGGAGCCCAAGGTGAGTGGCTGTAGCTGTAATTAGTGTACTGGCCCTTCAGGGAAGTGCTGGTGTTCCCATTGCCTCTCCCTGCCGGACAGAACCTCTACTTTGGTGTTTTTCACAGCCAGATGTTATGTGGGTTCCTTTTCCTGTTCTGCCACTCTGTGCTGGGGTGCTGGCTTGGGGTTTAACCTCTGACTTCCCAGAGGGAGCTTCTCACAGCTAAGACAGCCCTCAGCTGCTGCCTGTGTGAACCCAGCCCGCCCTCTTACACCTCTGCACCTCCTAATAGTCTCGATTTGGGACCCTCTTTACATCCGGTTATAAGGGTTCTCTCCATCTGCTCTTCAGTTGGTTTTTTTCAGATTACCTCTCTTTATTTTAGTTGTAATTTAGTGGTCTGTGTAGCTTCCATTCACTGTGCCACTATTTTTTTCTAATCCAGCCTCCTTGTTGAATTTTGATTGCTGTTCCACCTTACAGAATTTTATAATAGTGGATGGAGTACGTATGTTTATGTTACATTTTTAATTGATCATCTGTTATACTTGGGAATAAAATATGTACATAAATGAAAATTTTGTATTTCCTAGGAACATAAGACTTAGCATTTGAATATTTCTTTTGGATGAAGTTATTTATTACTAGTACTAAGTCAATCAAAATATTTCTATTTCTTACTTTTGAATCACATATAATCATAAAAAGCAACATTTTATTTGAAATACAGATCTTAATGAGATGATTGGAGCTCTTTTTTCCCCTGTTTATGGATAAATAACACTTACTAGCATATAACAATTTTTTAGCATCAATTTTATTCCTAGTTTTCATCTTTATAACATAAGTATTAAGAAGCCTTAGAAGGAGTTTTGTTATAGTGTTTTTAGACAGTTTTTTGAGCATCTTCAAAGTTTCATTCCCAAAATTGCATAATGATTTGTCATTAAAAATATTTTTAATGATCTATTAATTGTCAGCTTTATTAGCTAATCTTTACATTTTATTAAAAGCAAATAATTGGAAGTTGGAAAGGATGTTGCCTACGAAGGATTTGCTAGCCTGTCATTGAAGTCATTGCTTTCCTAACATTACCAACCAATACTGGCAGTTGCCTGTTTGTTGCCTGAGGACTTTTCCCTGTAGTAAGATTCGAGGTAGGTGAAAGGCAGCCTTTTTTTGGTCATGAGGGAGAATGGTAAGTGGGTAAGAAAAATTAACATGACATCAGGTCATGAAGAGATCATAGCAGCTAGTAAATTGAAATGCTAGGCTTTCAAGACAAGGAATCTGACTCCAAAATCTGCTCTTCAGTATTATTCAAAATCTGCCTTCAGTATTATATTAGCCAATTTGGGGATGCAGTACTAATAGGGCCATGATTCCTTCTTGCCCTTAAGAGACATCTCAGTCTCACTGGGAAATGCAGTGAGCTTCATATTTCTTGGAATGCTGCATTGTGAGTCAAGCCAGCTGCTTATTTGTTTTAACAGATCATATCTCAGTGATATAAACAGTAAAGGTTTATATCTTGTGTTGGGTTGATGGGGGTAGAGGCTGTATCCTCATGGTAGTTCAAGGATGCAGGCTTTCCATCAGTGGGGTTCTGAACCCTTGGAATGAGGTAAAAGATCACGTGGGACATGCTTAGAAGCCTGGAATTGCTTTCCATCTCTCTTTGTACACTACTGAGTGATACACACCTCTTAACTTAAGGCAGCCGGAGAAGTGTAGTTTAGTTGTTTGCCAGTGCAGGAGGAGAAAGGTAAGCAGCTAGCCATGCTCTGCAACCACTAATACATCTTACATCCAGAAGGACTTTCAGATTGTGCATAAATGGGAGTTATATTGTCTTCTATGGCCATTATATTAGTGCAGCAGAAACACCTCTCAAAATAATTATGTCAAAATGACTGTCTTTATTCAGAGCTACAACCTGTAGACAGAAATCTGAGGCCTTGATCAGGAGCTAGATTTTGAGAACAGATACACTGTTGACTGTCAACAGGATTTTCAAGGTGGCTGCATTTTTGTTCCTACACTGCAGTGCCATGTCCAGACAGATCCCTGTGCATTGTGCCAGCACTGTCAGGCTGGAGAAAGAGGTCAGCCCTCGGCAAGAACCATGCCTCAGGCAGGCTCCGTAGATTGGAAAGCTTGTCAGTGCTTTGATGATCCCGTGTAATGAACATCTCTGCTCTTTTATGTTGTTTACATGTTTTTTTTTGCTTCGATGTTAAAGCCAATTACTAATCTTCAAGTAGTTAAGTATACAGATTGTAGGGTTTTAAACTTTTTTTCCATCATAAAGGCAAAATGAAAGTGTTTTTCTCTCTTCTGTGTGAAAGACTTGGCAAGTCCCTCTAGAAGCTACTGGAAAACTACTGTTTGCTTTGGTCCCGTTTTTCTGGATGCTGTCCTGGCTTCATTTCTTGGACTTCTTATAACTTCAACCATTAGTTTTGTTTTTTGTGCACTTCAGTTGTAAAATTAGCGTAGTGTGCTATATGAGGTCTGTTGAATATTAGATCTTCACTATTTATTTATTTATTTATTTATTTATTTATTTATTTATTTATTTATTATTATTATTTGTGTGTGTGTGTGGTACGTGCCCCTATCGGGAACCAAAACCGGGACTCTCTGGTCCGCAGGCCGATGCTCAACCGCTGAACCAAACTGGCCAGGGCAGATCTTCATTATGTTTTTTTAACTTACTGTTTGTTTGTTTGTTTTTTTATCCTCACCTGAGGACATTTTTCTATTTTTTGTTCAGGTAGAGTGGGAGGGGGAGAGAGGAAGAGAGAGAGAAACATCGATGTGAAAGGGACACATCGAGTGGCTGCCACCCGCACGACCAACCAGGGCCGGGGACAAACTGCAACCAAGGTACATGCCCTTAGCGGGAACCGAACCTGGGTCTCTCAGGACCGCAGGCCGACGCTCTAACCGCTGAGCCAAACCGGCCAGGGCACTGTTTGTTTTTTTTTTAACCAGATTGCTTACTATAATAATTTCCTAAATACTCTGTACTGTTGATGCATTTTGAAATTTCTCATGTCTATCTTACCCTTTACGATAAATTTGAATGAAAAATATTCTGAATTGCAAAAATTGAATCAGAAATTGAAGATGTGTTTTAAAATAATTTAACTTGACTCTCTACAGATGGTCCCTCCTTAAAAGAAACATCAGGACCCAGCAGGCAGATTTTACAAGGTATGACAAGGAACTTGTGTATTTCTCAGTGTTATGAAACTGGTTTCATAGTTTTCCTTTAATAGAAGTACAAACATAGTATTTGTATTTAAAATGTTAGCTTTCCTAGTGATTTTTTTCTTATTAGCAGACAGTCTTTTAATTTAATTATCACTTGCCTGTTTCCTCAGATATAATAATAAGAATAAAACATTCAGAAACTATACTGCTTAAATATAAATGCTACCCATCCCAATGACGATAGTAATACCATAGTAGTATGTTTACCTTTGTAGGATTATTAAATAATTTTTTCAAGAATAATACTCCATATGTACTTACATTGTGGAAAAATTTAGTGCTACAAATGTAATGCATCCAAACCCAAAGATGTGCAATGCCCAGAGTGAACTGTAATGTGAACTCTTGCCTCTGGGTGATGATGATGTCCTGGCGCTGTTCCATCAGCTGTACCAAATGTACGCTCTGGTAGGGAATGTTGACAGAGGGAGGCTGTGCACGTATAGGGCCACAGGGTCTATGGGAAATCTCTATCTTTCTTTTTTAATTTTGCTGTGAACCTATTAAAGATCTAAATGTTTAATAATTTGTCTAGTTAAATATTTTTGAAAAATGTATATTAAACTACTTGACATTTTTAATGGTTTTTCCATCAATTGTCAGTTTTTTTTTAAATCCTCACCTGAGGATATTTCTCCATTGATTTTTTTTTTTTTTTAGAGATAATGGAAGGGAGGGAAGGAGGGGGAGGGGAGAGAGAGAGAGAGAGAGAGAGAAACAGAAACATCAACTTGAGACAGACACATTGATTGGTTGCTTCCTGCACAACCCTGGGGATTGAACCTGCAACCCAGGTCCTCGCCCTTGACTGAAACCGAACCTGCCGACCCTTCCATCTGCAGGCTGATGCTCTAACTGCTGAGCTAAACTGGGCAGGGCCAAGTGTCAGTTCTTAAATGTTAATATATCTAAGTTCTTGGGCAGTTAGAATATCAGTAGCCTACTAATTTAATATTTAATTATTAAAAGTTCAAATATGTTTATATCCACTTTAAAATATTCAAATTCCTACTTTTATATCAAGTTTGAGCTTAGTATAAACTTAGGTTACGAAGTCTTCAAGATAATAAGTTTGTCAGGCTTAATAGTTATGGCCCATAGGAAATTCATCTCAAATGGTAATTTTAATGACCAGCAGAGGGCTCTCTGTGTCCATACTACATATATTTAGTCAGCAGTGTTTTCTTGACAGATCCTTTCTGCCTAATAAAGTTTTCTTCTAACAAGTTATTAACTTCTGGACTCTTTTAACCAGAGATGAATGTGCACAAACGATTTTTAGAATCCATTTATTACTCTGCTTTCTCACTAATAATTATTCTGCATCAGATATATTGACCTCTGCTGATTTGAAACAGGAAAGATTATTTCAATTCCCAAGGTACTATTACTTCGTTACTGAACAATTAATCTGCATTCTTACCAATTTTCAAATTGCTATGTAGTATTTATTTATTTATTTAAAAATTGATTTTAGAGAGAAGAAGTGAGAAGGAGAGAGAGAGAGAAATATCAATGAGAGAAAACACTGATTGGCTTCCTCCTGCATGCCCCCCACTGGGGATCAGGCCCACAACTGGGCATGTGTCCTGACCAGGAATTGAACCAGTGACCTCTTGGTGCATGTGTCGACGCTCAACCACTGAGCCACACCAGCCAGACATATAGGAAATCAAGAATAGTTTTAAGAAATGTTTGTATTTTCAGTTGCTCAGAAGATATTATTTTGATTCTGATTATCTGTTTCTAGGTGTATTTTTACACATCCTAGCAGATACCCTTGGGAGCATTGGGGTGATTGCGTCAGCCATCATGATGCAGAATTTTGGTCTGATGATAGCAGATCCTATTTGTTCAATCCTGATAGCCATGCTCATAGTTGTAAGGTAAGTGCTGGTATATTACTTTCAGTTATTAAAATATGAGGTGATAAATACATTACTTAAATTACAAATCTAAATTATTATGTTGCCTTTCCTTTGGTCTTTTTTTTTAATCTTTATTGTTGAATGTAAAATGTATTACAGATGTTCCACATTTTTCCCCCATTGACCCCCTCCTCCCCACTCCCGCCCCCCTCCTGCCTTTTCCCACACTATTGTCTGTGTCCATTGGTTATGCATATAAGTTTATTTCTTCCCACCCCCCCAACCCCTTTCCCTTTGAGGTTTGTCAGTCTAGCAATGAATTTATACTTCTTAATCACCTTCACCTTTTTCACCCATTCCCCCAACCCCCCTCCCAACTGGCAACCAACAAAATGTTCTCTGTATCTATGAGAATGTTTCTGTTCTACCTGTTCATTTTGTTTGTAGATTCCATTGTTGATAGATCTGTATTCATTGCCATTTTGTTTGTTCATATATTTTATCTTTTTCTTCAAAAAGACCCTTCATCATTTCATATAATAACAGTTTGGTGGTGATGAACTCCTTTAACTTTTTCTTGTCTGGGAAAGTCTTTATATGTCCATTGATTCTAAATGACAGTTTTGCAGGATAGAGTAATCTTGGTTGTAGGTTTTTGCTTTTCATCACTCTGAATATTTCTTGCCACTCCCTTCTGGCCTGCAAAGTTTCTTTTGAGAAATCAGCTGACAGCCTAATGGGAACTCCTTTGTAGGTAACTAGCTGCCTTTCTCTTGCTGCTTTTAAGATTCTCTCTTTGTCTTGAACCTTTTGCATTTTGATGATGATGTGTCTTGGTGTGGGCCTCTTGGGGTTCATTTTGTTTGGGACTCTCTGGGCTTCCTGGACTTGTATGTCTGTTTCCTTCACTAAGTTAGGAAAGTTTTCTGCCATTATTGTTTCAGACAGGTTTTCGATTTCTTGTTCTTGCTCTTCTCCTTCTGGCACCCCTAAGATGCAAATGTTGGCACACTTGAAGCTGTCCCAGAGGCTCCTTACACTATCCTAATTTTTTTGGATTCTTTTTTCTTTTTGCTGTTCTGATTGGGCATTTTTTGCTTCCTTATATTCCAAATCGATGGTTTGCTTCTTGGATTTACGTAATGTATTATTGAAGCTGTGTAAATTATTCTTTATTTCAGTTAATGCCTCCTTCAATTCTAACTGCATCCATGATTTCTGACTGGTCCTTTTTTATGTTCTTGAGGCGCTCACTAAGTTTACTGAGGTTCTCACTAAGTTCATTGAGCATCCTTATAAGCAGTATTTTGAACTCAGCATCTGTTAGGTTGCTTATCTCCATTTCGCTTAGTTCTTTTCCTAGGGTTTTGTTCTGTTCTTTCATTTGGGACCTGTTTCTTTGTCTCCTCATTTTGGCTGCCTCCCTGTGTTTGTTTCTGCGTATTACTTAACAAGAGGTATGGGGCTAGCTGAGACCAGATGCTGCTCATTTGAAAGAATTTAGGAAAAACCTGAAGCAGGATCCAAGACAGGCCAATCCTATGGTTAAGCAAGTGGCAACAGCTTGGGTGGGCCTGAAAGTTGGGTGGGGCGGGGCCTCAGGGAGTCAGCAGGGCGGGGCTACCAGTGTGAGCCAGGTTGCTGGAGTCCCAGATATGGCAACTGTCTGCCGCCCCAGGGAAGGGCTCACCAAAGGAACAAAGGCCTCTTACAGCACATTGGTCCCGGAGAAAGCCCCCTCTCCAGCCCTTGCTCCAGTGCCAAACAGCTCAGTTCTTCCCTGTGTGTCTCTGGTGCCCCTCGAGCTGCCTCCCCTCCGAGCTTAGAGGGAGAGAGTCCGACAAGTCCGTGTGCGGGCCCTTTAAGGAGCTGCCTGGGGCTCCAGCCGCCTCAGCCTCCCTGAGCCTCAGTTCCTGCTGGTTTTTCCAGCCAGAAGTGATGGGGACTCTCTTCCTGGCACTGGAACCCTGAGCGGGGCACCTGGTGTGGGATGGGGACCCCTCAGTCCTCAGGAAGGACCTTCCCAGCGAGGTAACCTCCTGATTTTTTTGTTGTTGTTGTTATCCTCACCCGAGGACATTTTTTGTTCAGGTAGAGTGGGAGGGAGAGAGAGGAAGAGAGAGAGAGAGAAACATCGATGTCATCGAGTGGCTGCCACCCGCAGGACTGACCAGGGCCGGGGACAAACTGCAGCCAAGGTACATGCCCTTAGCGGGAACCGAACCCGGGTCTCTTGGGACCGCAGGCTGATGCTCTAACCGCTGAGTCAAACCGGCCAGGGCTCACCTTCTGATTTTTATTTGCCACACTTGGGTGTGGGACTAGCCCGTGGCGCCGCTGTCCCTCCTACCAGTCTGGATGTAGCTGCTGCTTTAATTCCGTAGTTGTAGGACTTCCATTCAGCTTGATTTCAGGCGGTTTTGAATGATGGTTGTTCTGTAGTTTAGTTGTAACTTTGATGTGGTTGTGGGAGGACGCGATACCGCGTTTACCTATCCGCCATCTTGACCGGAAGTCCCACCTTTGGTCTTTAACAAATTCCTACATAGATGATTTCTCTTCTCATCTGCCTTTTGGTATTTAGCAGTTAATCTTACTGGTCTGTCATTCAAATCTGTAGTAATTTTCTCGAATCCAACACTGTAGAGTAGAGCACTGGAAATAGAAGTGTATTAACCATTGTCAGAATCTTCTGTCTTTGACATCTATATCTTGCACTGCCAAATGCAAAAGCATGTTAGAATCTCTTCTTCTAGAACGGTTTTTAGTCTGTAAAGTCACATTATCATTGCAGCAGTCTTGTAAACGTGCTTACTGAAGTATATTTATGTCTGCTTCCCTATCTAGATTGTAAATTCCCAAGGAAGGATCTGTCTCTTAGCTTTCTAGATCTGTGTTGCTTGCTGTAGTGCCAACGTGTATGTGAAAGTGTGTGTGTGTGCATAAATTCTCAATACGTGCTTGCTGAATTAGATTGTATGATTTTGTCTCTTACATTTATATCAGTTTATTTTATTATTGTTTAATTTTTATCAGAATAATGAAATAATGTGTTCCTTTTCCTCAGTCTTGTATTATTTATAAAGATAATGTCTTGATTGGACTGCTTTATTTATCTTTATGGTTTTGCTGTTCATAAAACTTTTTTTGTTATGATAACGAGACCTTCTAGAAGACAGACTGATGATATTTTTTAAATATGTTTTTATTGATTTTTTTTTTTTTTAAGAGAGGAAGGGAGAGATAGAAATATCAATATTAGAGAGAAACATCAATTGGTTGCCTCCTACACACCCCCTAGTGGGTTTCAAGCCTGCAACCGGGGCTCGTGCCCTGACCAGGAATTGAACTGGGACCTCTCAGTCCATGGGACAACGCTCAGTCCACTGAGCCACACCAGCTGGGCAAGACTGATGATTATTTATAGTGTATAGGTAGATAGAGTAGACTTAATAAATTACAGTGAAATTCTAATTTTATAAATTAGTCATAAATGCAAATTTTTAAATTTTTGCTTAAAAATAGGCTATACATTCTAAACATGCATATTATTTTTTAACTTTATTTTTTAACTTTTCTTTAAATTATTTGTAGTAGGAAGCAACTCTATGTAAAGTCTTTTTTAAAAAGTTAGAGTGCTTTTTCTTCATCTTTGTAAATCTTCCTATACTTCCTTCAAAGTTCAGCTTAGCTACCACTTAGTCTATGGAACATAACTCCTGAGAGCTTAACTAACTGACACATGACCCTCTAGCTGCACGATCAGTGTTGATTTTACTTGGTTTTGCACTACATTTCTTAGTTGCTTCTCATACTCAGAGTAGGATCTTAATATTCTCTTTGTCTACACTGTGCTGTCCCGATTCTCGTTGCTTGGAAGAGGAAGTCTCCCTCTGGACTGTCTTCCACACTGTGGCCATGGTCATTTTTCTTTATGGAGAATCATGGTACTTGGCAAAACTTCGCATTTTAAGTCCTTCTGTGGCTCTTTTTTACCCTCAGGATAAAGTCTGAACTCCTTAGTGGGGCTTCGTGTGGCCACCATCTGCCTCTCCCATCTCACTCCCACCCCTTGTCAGTTCTACTCCCCAGCCACAGTAAATTACTTCCAGGTCCCCGACAATACGTTACGCACTGTCTGGGTGCTGGGCTTCGCTCTCTCTGAAGTGAACTGCTCTCCGCTGAGTGTTCCTCCTGCCCGCCCCACAGCTGCAGGTATCTCCACTGCTCAGCCTTCCCATCACACCGGAGCTTAATGGCACCTCGTGCAGAAGCAGGTCCTGGTCCCCCACCTGGCGGGTGGGTCTGTCCACTTGGAGCACCCTCGCCACTCTTGTCATGCATGGAAGTAGCCTGTCTTCCTGTCTCTCCCTCTCCATGGGGGCCAACCGGTTTTCCATTGTCAAGTCCACACCAACTCTTCCAGGCAAAACATTGGTACATTTTGGATTTGAATGAAAATAAATTTGTTTTGTCAACCTCAGAGAATTACTTTCTCTGCTTCCAAACAGGATCGCTTAGTTCTATTTCTACTCAGTTATTCCACAAATATACGTTTATACACATACAGAGAAACTTTTTTACTAAACTATATCTCACTAACAAACTGCACAAATCGTTTTGAACACATACTTATTAAGTAGACCCTCTCACCAGGATGGTGAGAAGACAGGATGCTCCCTGTTTTGATCTTATGGTAGGAGAGAGAGAAGCACATGCTTTAGGAGCAGTGGAAAGCAAGGGCTGCAGACAGGAGGGGCTGATGAACCCTGTGAAATGCTGCTGGGACTGGTAATTGGTAACTCCGATAGGAGATCCAGAGAGGGGTGGGAGTGGGAGCTCATCCACGTGGCTGTGAGAGCCTGGGAGGGGAAGCCACAGAAAGCATCTGTGGTTAGCTCCTTTCCCAGATCTGGCTGTGCAGGGAGCCTGTGCTTGCTGGAACACCGAGGGCCCACTTTGAACTTTGTGGTCACGATTGTAGAGGGAGAACAACCAGCACCAGTGTATTTTTCTCT